ATTCACTCACCCCAGCCCTTCCCCCCCAATAAAGATGGATCATTACCCAGACTTCCCATAGGGGGAGTCTCAGTGGGACTGGTGGTCTCTGAGGGTCACTCTGATGGTCCCATTCCAATACAGGCCCTCCCACTCCTACCCGAGTCCTTCTGTTCTGGCAGCCCCATCCATCTACCTCCCCCCGCCACCCCATCATCAGGCTCCTTTTCCAGGAGCTGTGCTGGTGGACGGGCAGGATGTGGGATTGCCCTGGATTGGCACTGCGGGCCTCAGCATCTCCAGAGCCTCCTCCACCTTTCTGCTGCTACGCTGGCCAGGAGTCCATGTCCTCTGGGGAGTGGCTGACCCTGCAGCCTACATCACCCTGGCCCCCCACCATGCCCACCAGGTGTGCCAGGAGGCGGGTGAAAGGCTGGGCAAGGTTATGCTGAGTCTGAATGTGACTGTCCCACATCATCTCCACGGCCCAGGTCCAAGGTCTGTGTGGCACCTTCACTTGGAACCAGCAGGATGACTTCCTGACACCAGCTGGGGATGTGGAGACCAGCACTGCTGACTTTGCTAGCAGGTTCCAGGTGGCAGGCAATGGAAAGTGCTCCTCTGGGGACAGTGTCCTGCTCTTCCCCTGCAGCACACACTCCCAGCACCTTGCTTTTGCAGAGGCAACCTGTGCCATCCTGCATGGCCCAGCCTTCCAGGTAGCCGGGGTGGCCTACCAGTCACAGGGAGGCAGCAATGGGGACCCAAGAGAATGAGGAGTTCATAAGGAAGAGCCCCGCTTCCTCTCTTCCCAAGGACTGCCACAGGCTGGTGGACAGGGAGCCATTCCAGCTGCGCTGCTTGGCGGCAGTGTGTGGCTGTGCCCCTGGCAGGGACTGCCTGTGTGCCGTGCTGTCTGCCTATGCGCACCGCTGTGCCCAGGAGGGCGCCCTGCTGTCCTGGAGGAACCAGACTCTCTGCCGTGAGCCCCTGCCCAGGCAGCCCTACCTCACACTCCCTCCCACCTCCTCCTCCTGGCCCCTTCTAGGAGAAGCTGGAGAGGGCAGGAACCTCTGACCTTAGGGGGTTCCTGGGCTTTTCTTCCTGGGGAAGCACAGCAGGGGTAGGCTCCAGAGGGGTTGACTATGCTCCTGATATGCACATGTCCCTGGGTCCAGCTGTCCTGTGTCCTGGTGGCCAAGAGTACCAGGAGTGCGCTCCAGTGTGTGGTCACCATTGCGGAGAGCCAGAGGATTGTAAGGAGCTGACCGGCTGTGTGGCTGGTTGTAACTGCCCCCCTGGCCTGCTGTGGGACCCTGAGGGCCAGTGTGTCCCCCCCAGTCTGTGCTCCTGCCAGCTTGGAGCCCATCGTTACAGCCCTGGCAGTGTCACCATGAAGGACTGCAATCGCTGGTGAGGGTGATGGCTTGGGGGGGGGGCAAGAGAAAGAACGTGGGCTGAAGAGGGAGGGCTGGAGAGGAGGGGCTGATCATCGCAGGCTGGGGTGCTGGGAGGTGCAGCACTCAGGGCTCCGGCATCAGAGCTGGGTTTCCGCTCAGTGTAAATGGATCTGGTGCCTGGGTCCCCAGTGTCTGGGTTCCTGAGACTCTCACCAGAGCAGACCAGCGGCCTGGAGGCTGAATCTCTGCTGGGCCTGGCTCTTTCCCCTTCCACCCTCCCGTAGCATCTGCCAGGAGAGGGGCCTCTGGAACTGTACCGCCCACCACTGCGCCCTGCAGCGTGCATTCTGCCCTGGGGAACTTGTCCATGCTCCTGGAGCCTGCCTCCTCACCTGTGACAGCCCCAGTGCCAACCACTCGTGCCCCATGGGCAGCACTGATGGCTGTGTCTGCCCTCCAGGCACCGTGCTGCTGGTGAGGCTGGGAGGGGAGGGGATGGGGCACCAGAGTGGCCTTCCCAGCACCAGGGCACTGTCCTGTTCCCCTAGCTGCCCAAAACAGTGTCCCCACTCTCTGCCCAGGATGAGCGCTGTGTGCCTCCTGATCTCTGTCCCTGCCGTCACAGTGGGCAGTGGTACCCACCTAATGCCACCATCCAGGACAACTGCAACACTTGGTATGCCCAGCCCCCCTGATCGACACCCTTCCGGCCTTGTGACTACTGGCTCTCCAAACACAATGCTCCCCCCCACTAGAATGAGTTGGGGTGATAGGTGGGGTAGGGCATCTGGGCTGGGCTGGGCACTGGGGATCTCTGGGATCTTCCACACTGGGGTCCTATCTGGAGTCGCAGGAATCTGGACCAGTTGCCTCCCCTGCTACAGCTCAGGTCCCTTCCTCAGTGACTCTGTCCCTGTCCCTTACCCACAGTGTGTGCCAGGGCCGACAGTGGCATTGCACAGGCCAGCTGTGCAGTGGATGGTGCCAGGCATCGGGTGCCCCCCACTATGTGACGTTTGATGGGCTGACACTCACCTTCCCCGGAGCCTGCGAGTACCTGCTGGTTCGAGAGGCCAGTGGCCGCTTCAGCGTCTCTGCCCAGAACCTGCCCTGCGGGGCCAGCGGCCTCACCTGCACCAAGACACTGGCCGTGCGTCTGGAGGGCACTACTGTGCACATGCTCAGAGGTGGCCGTGACATTGCAAGGAGACCCTGACAGGGGGTGGGGGGCACTCCAGCACAGTATAATAGCCACACACCAGTATGGCCAAGGTCCAGGTTCCTCAGGTCGAGTCCTCACTGGGCTTGGTTGTCCTCAGAGGGGTGGGACGGGTGGCTCTCCTCCTGGTTGGAATCATAATTTCTCAGATAAACCAGGCTCCAGAGAAGTCTAATGACCTTCCTAAGGTCACAGAGGTAGAGAGGCTAAAGGAGGTTTGAAGGGGAAGCGGGCAGGGCTTCATGGGACCTGGGAGGCCCTTCACTCCGTGCTGCCCTGAACACCTTTCCTCCTCTCCAGGCCGGGCAGTGACGGTGAACGGGGTGAGTGTAACACCCCCCAAGGCCTACACAGGCCCAGGGATAAGTCTGCACCGTGCAGGCCTCTTCCTGCTGCTGACCACACGCCTGGGCCTCACCCTGCTCTGGGACGGAGGTTAGGCCCCACCCTTATGCACCTGACCCACACCCAGCCTTGGTCCTGGATGGACTGGACTCCCCGCCAAACCCTTCCTCCCTGCGCCTGCCCAGCTCTGAGATCAGGGTTGAGCTTCCAACAAGCCTCAAAGGCAGATATCCAGAGTAACAGCCAGACCAGGATCTTTGGCCTCCCCTGCCCTGCTGGCCTCCACTGGGCGCCCCCAGCCCAACACCACCCCCACCTCACTGCCCGAACAAGTGGTCAGAGTTTCCAAATTATGTTTTCATCCTGTTTTTCTTCATTATGAAAGCAATGCTGCCTCACCCAAGAAATATTTAGAAAATACCAAGTTTTAGGAAGAAGAAATGAAAATAGATTCAACATTCTACCACCCAAACACAAGCAGTTGGCGTTTTAGAAACAGAACTCTCAGTGAGAAATTGAGGGAAGCCAAAATAACCCTGTAGGGACTCGGCGCGAGCGGCAGAGCCAGGCTGCCTCTAGGCCTCGCCACCAGGACTCTGGTGTGGGAAAGCCTCAGCCCATCCTGGTTTCCCATCCAGAATGCAGCCAGATGGGGAGTTTTCCAAACTTAGTTTTGTTTTCCCCCTTGTGGTACCAGAGATTGAACCCAGGGGTGCTCTACCATTCAACCACATCCCCAGCACTTCTTAATATATCTTGAGACAGGTTCCCACCAAGTGGCCCAGGCTGACCTTGGACTTACAACCTTCCTGCCTCAGCCTCCCTAGGCTCTGGGATTACAGGCACCAACCTAAGTTTGTTTAGGAAACTAGGCTCTTACTTCTGGCCCTTCCTCTCCAATGTCTGTCTCTTCATGTATGACCACCAATTAACCCAACCCCCAGGAAAGAGGGAACCGGCACTCTCTGTTGGGTGGGGGTACCCATGCAGGGCAGTATTATGTCCCTGCGTCTTCTCCTGACCCCAGCCCTGCTGAAGGGTACCAGGGTCATTTTTTACAATGATGCCACCAGGCACCCGGGTCCTGATACAGCTGTCCCCACACTTCCGTGGTCGTGTGGCTGGGCTATGTGGAGACTTTGATGGAGATGCCAGTAATGACCTGCGGAGTCGCCAAGGAGTCCTGGAGCCCACAGCTGAGCTGGCTGCCCACTCCTGGCGCCTCAGTGCGCTCTGCCCCGAGCCAGGAGACCCGCCACACCCCTGCACGGTGAGCTCAGGCAGACAGCGGGAGGGACGGTGGGCCTGCCAGAGCTCGGGGCTGGGGCAGGTGACTAGTTGGCCCAGGGTGCTGGAGATGGTGCCCTGTGCTGCAGGTAAACACACACCGCGCAGCCTGGGCCCGTGCCCGCTGCGGAGTGATGCTCCAGCAGCTCTTCGTCCCATGCCACACAGAGGTGCCCCCACAGCAGCACTACGAGTGGTGTGTGTACGACACCTGTGGGTGAGGAAGGCTGGCCCGAGTGGGGGGCAGTGAGGGTGTGGGGGCAGCGCGGGGCTGCTGAGCCAACTGCTTCCTCCCACAGCTGCGATTCAGGGGGCGACTGTGAGTGCCTGTGCTCTGCCATTGCCGCCTACGCAGACGAGTGCGCCCGGCATGGGCACCATGTGCGCTGGCGCAGCCAGGAGCTCTGCCGTGAGTGTTCCCAACTCTCAGACTTGTCTCCTGCATGGCCCTTGAATGGTGCTTAGCCTGCCCCGCCAGCTGGACACTTGGTCAGAAGTTCAAACCTGTGCTACACGCTTACCGTGTGCCAGACCCTTCCAGATGAACCAAACATGCAAGAATGTCTGTCTCACAGGGCCGATGTGTCCCACATCACCTTGGGAGGGTCTCAGCCAAGGTCTACAATATGAACACCTTGGGCTGACTCACCTGGTGCCCTTGTACCTGAGTGAGCTGAGCCTCTCTCCCTCCACCCAGCCCTGCAGTGTGAAGGGGGACAAGTATATGAGGCCTGTGGCCCCACCTGTCCTCCCGCCTGCCCTACCCACCATGCTGAGCCTGCATGGCACTGCCGGGCCATTGCCTGTGTGGAGGGCTGCTTTTGCCCCGAAGGGACTCTGCTGCATGGTGCGTAGTCAGAAAGGCCAGAGGGGAGGGGACATCCCTGGGGAAGTGTCCTGCATGGATGGCATTTGTGTGGGGACCATCCAGCTGTGTGATGGGAAAGGGCCACGTGACCATGGTGGTGGACTGGGCCAGGGGCACTGTGCCCCCTTCACTCTGGAGTCCTGTGCTCTGTGATCTCAGGAGGAATCTGCATGGAGCCATCTGCCTGTCCCTGTGAGTGGGGTGGCAGCTTCTTCCCACCGGGGACTGTGCTGCAGAAGGACTGTGGGAACTGGTGAGTGGGGAGTACCTGGGTAGACCCTGTGCCCCTGGACTGGCCACGCCCAGCCATGGCTGATCCCAGGATACCATATTCAGCACTTGCCAGGAAAGCCAGTGGCATTGTGGGGGTGACAGTGCCCCCTGCGAGGAGCTGGTGCCTGACTGTGCCGAAGGAGAGTCTCCCTGCCAGGGAAGTGGGCACTGTATTCCACATGAGTGGCTTTGTGACAACCAGGACGACTGTGGCGATGGCTCAGATGAGGAGGGTGAGTGCTTTCACCTGTGTGACAGGCACAGGTGACTGAGTTCACTGGGTGTGCAGCAGGTGTCCCCAGGGTAGCCTCCTGAGCTGCTGCTTCCACGGCCAGCAGTTATAACTTGGGGAATGAGGGACAGGTAGGGAGTTCTGGTCCTTCTAGGGTTATGGGTTTCTCTGACTCCAGCGTCCTGAGCCTGCCCGCTTACCCTATGCCAGGTTGCGCCACCCCAGGCTGTGTGGAGGGACAGATGTCATGCCGCTCCGGCCACTGTCTGCCCCTGTCCCTGCTCTGTGATGGGCAGGATGACTGTGGAGATGGCACAGATGAACAGGGCTGCCCATGTCCCCATGACTCGCTGGCCTGTGCTGATGGGCGCTGCCTGCCCCTCACCCTGCTGTGTGATGGGCATCCTGACTGTCCAGACGCCGCTGATGAGGAGTCCTGTTTGGGTTAGTTGTTTCTGCTCTGGACTTGGGCCCACCAGGCACGCTCTCCTACCAGGCCCAGCTCCTGGTTGCCCCAGCCTCGCCCGCCCACTTCTTTGCCAGGTTATATATTGCCTGTGAAGCTGGCACCTGTGAGTGGGGGCACCCCGAGTAGTGAGAAAAGGAGGCAGTGTTCTGGGACCAGCTCCTCCTTTCTGGCTGCAGGGCAGGTGAACTGCATCCCTGGGGAAGTGTCCTGTATGGACGGCACTTGTGTGGGGACCATCCAGCTGTGTGATGGAGTTTGGGACTGCCCAGATGGAGCCGACGAGGGTCCTGGATACTGCCCGCTGCCCTCTCTGCCTGTGCCCCCAGCTAGCACCATGCCTGGCCCCTCTACTGGCTCCCTGGAAGGTGCCTCAAGTCCACTGGGCAGTGCCAGCCCTGGTGAGTCTCCTGGAGAAGATGGGGTGAGAAAGCTAGGGAGGATGGGGATGGGACCACAGAGGAAGGCATGTGGGTGGTGCTTTGGGATGGAGACAAAAGAGGTGGAGGGCATTTGAGGGGAACTGAGGTCCAGCCTCATTTTCTGTATTTCCAAGGCCTTCTCTGAGTTAGGGGAATCTAAGGGAAGTTCTTGAACCAGGGAAAAATTTGGGGGACACCAATAAGGCAAAAGAATACAGGGGTGGGTTGGACTCCAGGAGGGACTGAAGGTGGGGAGGGCTGGCTCAGGTAAGGGGCAGGACAACTGGAGCCTGGAGACGGGAGGTGAGCCAGGAGCCGCTGTGGGAGGGCGAGACCCGCCTGCGGAAGCCGGTCCACTCCCGTGGGGTCTAGTGCAGCCCCCCACGCCCACCCCAACCAGCACGGAGCTGCGGCCCCTTGGAGTTTCCGTGCGGCAGCGGAGAGTGCACCCCGCGGGGCTGGCGCTGCGACCAGGAGGAGGACTGCGCCGATGGCAGCGACGAGCTGGGCTGCGGTGGGCCTTGCGCTCTGCACCACGCGCCCTGCGCCCGCGGCTCACACTGCGTGTCCCCCGGGGAACTGTGCGACGGCGTGCCGCAGTGCCCCGACGGCTCTGACGAGGGCCCAGACGCCTGCGGTGAGAGTCGCCCCTATCCTGCGCGGCCCTCCCCAAGCACCCCCTGCGCACAGCTACACAGTGACTTAGGTTTGCAGACATCAGTCTGAGCAACTTTTGTGTTCCTTTGATTTTTTTTTTTTTTTTTTTTTTTTGTACCAGGGATTGAATCCAGGACACTTAGTCACTGAGCCACATCCCCAGCCCTTTTTTTTTTTTTTTTTTTTGTATTTTATTTAGAGACGGGGTCTCACTGAGTTGCTTAGGGCTTTGTAAAGTGGCTGAGGTTGGCTCTGAGCATGCTCTGAAAGGCTGGGATTACAGGCGTGACCAGGGAGACCCGCCCTTTGATCTTTTTAATGAAACTTTCTTTGCCGTCCTTCTCAGGCCCCGTGGAGAAGGAAGGGGCTTTTGGTTTGGGACAAGAAAGGACAAGAGAGTGGGTGTTGGCTTTGAGGGCCTAGGGAGTGGGTCTGTCCGTAGGGCTCCCCTGTCCCCATTTTCTCCCCATCCCACCTGGGTTGAACCCCTGTAAGCCCTGACAAGTTGGTCTTTCTGGTCCTGGCCACTTCCCCTGCGAGGGCTGGCTCCTCCCCAGAATCCACCCCTCCTGCACTCCTCCAAGGAGAGCCCCATGCTGGCTCTGCCACCTGCCTGTCCTCCTCCCCCAGTGCCTTCAGGCCCTCCCTGCCAGCCCTTCTGCAGAGAGGGAGTAGGAGGGGACAGGAGCACAGCAAGACCCTTCTTACTGTCCCCACAGGTTCCACCCAGCCTCCCCTGTGCCATGGCCTCTTGCCCTGTGGTTTGGCTCCCTGGCTGTGCCTGAACCCTGAGCAGCACTGCAATGGGGTCCCCGACTGTCCCCAGGGCGAGGATGAGCTGGACTGTGGTATGAACACTTCTCATGGGTCTGCAGCTGGTGCTTGCCCACAGGTAGCTGCAACTCCCTGCAAACTGGTTTTCTCTCTTGCTCCCAGAGGGACTGCCACCCCCAGGAAGTCTCAACAGGACAGAATTTCCCTGCCCAGAATATTCCTGCCCCAATGGCGACTGCCTTGGTTTTCACCTGGTGAGGGTCAGGAAGGGGAGGTGGCAGGCAGAGCCGTGCACCAATGCAGAAGCCCTGAGCCTGTTGCTCCCCCAGGTGTGTGATGGGCAGCCCAACTGTGAGTTGGTAGGAGAGGCAGGACTCTCCCCAGAAGAACAGGGCTGTGGGACCTGGGGTCCCTGGAGCCCATGGGGGCCGTGCAGCCAGACCTGTGGGCTGGGGGTGCAGAGCCAAAGCCGCAGCTGTTCCCCATCCGGGCTGCTGGTGCTGCAGCACTGCCCAGGCCCCGCCAACCAGTCACAGGCCTGCTTTACCAAGGCCTGCCCAGGTAAGGGGCTGGGAACACAAGGGAGTGACTGTGGGACAGTGGGGACTGGAGAGAGGAGAAAGGAAAGGTCCTGGGGCCTTCAACCCTACCTTGCACTCCCACCCCCTCCCGCCCCATCCCTCCCCTCACAGTGGATGGTGAATGGAGCTCCTGGTCCTCCTGGTCTCTGTGCTCTGAGCCTTGTGGGGGCACCAGGACAAGGCAGCGACAGTGCCACCCACCCCAGAATGGAGGCCAAGCCTGTGCCCTTCTGCCCGGGGGCCCTCACAGCACCCATCAGACTGGTGAGTGGAAGGGAGAGGGCACAGGTGGGGGGCGGGGGTTGCTGGGGGGACACTTGTCCTTGCTGCTGTGCCTCCCTCTCCAGTCTCTGACCCCACTCTCAGAGCCCTGCCCTCAGGATGGCTGTCCCAATGCCACCTGCTCTGGGGAGCTGGTGTTCCAGCCTTGTGCCCCCTGCCCTCTGACCTGCGATGACATCTCTGGCCAGGCTATCTGCTCACCCCGCAGGCCCTGCAGCAGCCCAGGTGAGGGGGCTCCGGGATCGGGGTCTGTGGAGGCCACAGTGTCTGCCTGGAAACCTCACCCTGCTTCTTCCCTAGGCTGTTGGTGCCCAGAAGGGCAGGTGCTGGGCAGTGAGGGGCAGTGTGTGTGGCCCCGGCAGTGCCCCTGCCTGGTGGATGGTGCCCGCTACTGGCCTGGGCAGCATATCAAAGCCAACTGCCAGCTCTGTGTCTGCCAAGATGGGCGGCCCCGGCGCTGCCGGCCCAACCCAGACTGTGCCAGTGAGTACCCCGCATCCTGTGGCCCTGCTCTCAAGGTCCCTTGTATCCTCCCAGGCTACCCAGCTGGGCACTCACCTCTGCCTCCTGGCCCTAATTCTTGCCCTCTCTCAGTAAACTGTGGCTGGTCCTCCTGGTCCCCCTGGGCCGAGTGCCTGGGCCCCTGTGGGAGCCAGAGCATCCAGTGGTCCTTCCGGAGCCCCAACAACCCCCGCCTCTCCGGCCGAGGTCGCCAGTGCCGCGGCATCCACCGCAAGGCTCGCAGGTACCAGCAGGGCCCTTGCCCTCGCCTTCACGCTCGCTCTTCCTGCATGCCCCTTCCCACGAGAGACCCCAAATCACAACACTGCTCAGTGCCCTCCCAGCCTAAACCCCAGAACCCCCTGGAGACCCAGCCTTTTCCTCCTTTAGTGCTGTGCCATCTAGACCCAAAGCAGGGCAAACGGAGCCCACACGTGCAGCTCGACAAATGCAGGAGTGGGAATGGGTCCCCTGTGTCTCTGGAGGTGTGCGGGGTGAAGCTCTTGGGGGACAGCCATTTCCGCCTGCACACCCTGCTGGGACCAGCTCTGCTGGCTGGTGGAGCTGGCACAAATTGCTTCCCCAATTTGGGGCCTGTTGCAATTTCTGGAATTCAGGAGTGGGATGGGGTTCAAGGTGATGACCAGACATTAACCCTGGATTTTTCCAGTCTTATCACTTGAAGTCCCCAGTCCTGAAATACCCTCAATCCAGGCAAACCAGGAGGGTGATGACTGTTAGTGAGCCCTCCCCATGCTGAGGCTGCCCTTCCTCCCCAGGTGCCAGACGCAGCCTTGTGAGGGCTGTGAGCAGCAGGGCCACACACACCAGGTCGGGGAGCGCTGGCGTGGGGGCCCCTGCAAGGTATGCCAGTGTCTGCATATGGGCACCGTGCACTGCTCCCCCTATTGCCCGCTGGGCAGCTGTCCCCAGGTGAGGCCCTGGGAGCCTGGAGGGGTGGTGCGAGGCTAGGCTTGTGGAGGCCAATGGAGTGGGTTAGAGGTGGGCAAGTGGCTAATTTCTGTGCTCCACAGGGTTGGATCCTGGTGGAGGGAGTAGGAGAATCGTGTTGCCACTGTGCCCTGCCTGGTAAGTGGGTCTGGGTGGTAGCAGAAAGGGCAAGGGGAGGAGGACTTTAGGAGGGAATTGGGGATGGTTCAGCTTCCTTATTCTAAAAGTGTACCTATAAGCTGATGAGGTTGGGATCAAGCCAGTGCACACACGGTTGTACATGTTGTTCACTGGACAATTTTTGCCAGCAGTGGGGATTAGACTCCAGCCCCAGGACTGCTTCCATCCAGAGGCAGCCCCTTTCTAATGCCCACAAGGTTGTAATTAATGACAGTAGTCCTGGGTTAGCAACTGCACCTGCTCTGTCCTAGTCCTAAAGTGGCTTTGCACAGGCAGTTTTATTCTGGGTGCTCTGAATATTCATTGGAAATATGTAAAACCCTCATTCATACAAAGGGAAAGAGGTGTCCTTTCCCGCTGGGGTGGTCCTGGGATTTCTGTGCTGTCATGGGAGAGAAAGTGCTCCAAATGGGAAGGACCTTGCTGGCCAGGGGCTGGCGAGAGCCTCTCTGGGTCTCTTCCTCCTGACCCTTGGGTCTCCCTACACAGCAGAGAATCAAACTGTGCCTCCAACAGCCACTCCTGCCCCTGCTCCAGCCCCCAGTCCCCAGACGGGTCCCCCTCTGGTCACCTATGTTCTGCCTCCCCTAGGAGGTAAGGACCCAGCTGAGAGGGGTGCCCCGGGAGGGAAGCAGACCAATGGGAAGTGGCCCATCTCCATCTCTGCCCTTCCTGCCCCATGTCCTGGGTCAGGGTCACCTGTGTGGCCCTTTTCTTCCCCAGATCCCTTTATGGCATGCCTCTGGCACCCCCTCCTTCCCCCCCCAACCTCCCCTCCTGTCCCCAGATGCCTGCTACTCTCCCCTGGGCCTGGCTCTGCCCCCGGGGAGTCTGTGGACATGGTCAAGGCAGCTGGAGCCCCCTACCTGGGCTGCCCTCCTGGGGGCTCCCACCAAAGGGCCTGGCCCCAGAGCGGGTGCTTATGCTGAGTGGCACAGCGGGCCACCCTTCCTGCAACTGGACCTGCTCCAGCCCCGGAACCTCACTGGTCAGTGAGGAGGAGGGGGTGGGGGAGGACGTTGGGGGGGGGCTGCCTCCTTCAGCTCTGACTCCACCCTGGGCCCGGCCCCTCCAGGCGTCATCGTGTGGGGGCCCACCTCCTCCAGCCCACCTGGCAGCAGCTTCTCGCTTCAGTTCGGCACTGATGGTCTACACTGGCAGGACTACCGTGACATCCTGCCTGGCACCTTGTCCCCACCCAAGGTACTAAATGCCCAAGGCCTCTCAGGCCAGTGACCCAACATGTCCCTTTGTGGATTCCACAACCTCTGTACTCCTGGGTCTTTCGGTTTCCCCAAGGGACAGTCCTTGCATTAGTTGCTTAAGGAATAACTGGTAAGTAATAGGGACTCTATTCTGTGGAATAGAGGGGCGGAGTGTCACTGTCGAGTCCAAGTCCAGGAACACAGAGCTCTCCAGCAGCCTGGGAAGGGGGAAGGGGGGGACACATTAAATTCACAGAGGACCTTGGAGCCCAGACCCACGTGTGTCCATATGGAGCAGCCGAGTGCGGCCCTCTCTGCGGGGAAGGATCAGTCCACAGGTGTTCCCTCTGACCTGTACCTGCTCTGTGCCCGGTGCTGGGCTGTCCCTGTGGTCACAGCTCTGAGTGGGACCTGACCCTGCCGTAAGAATCCTGCCACCTCAGTGGGAGGAGCTTAGGCCAGGACCAGACCCCCTGCAGCCTTGAGGGACTAGGTGGCTACCACCAGGGGGACATGGGCTCTGGCAGAGGCAGGATTCTTGTGAAGATTGAGCAGAGAGGAGGGTCACTCAGTAGGGCCACAGCGGCAGCCTGAGCAAGAGGCAGGACTCGGTCAGCAGGCACCTTGTGCTTCAGTCTTTCCCCAGGAACTGGGAAGATGTGGCCTCCAAGGTGTGGGCCTTCAGCCGGATGGTGCAGGCAAGGTACATCAGGGTGTGGCCACACAGTGTCCCCCACAGCGACAGGCAGCCTGGCTTCTTCCTGTGGGTGGAGCTCCTGGGCTGTGAACCAGGTACAGGCTGGGCTGCGAGCGGGAGGACCAGGAGGGAGCAGGAGGATGGCGGAAGTCCTCACAACACCCCCCTACCCACAGTGTCCCCACCAGTACCCCCGTGCCCAGGGGCTGGGCACCGCTGTGCCAACGGTGACTGTGCTCTGCGAGGGGTGCCATGTGACGGTGCTGCAGACTGTGAGCATGGCTCTGACGAGGAGGGCTGTGGGCCCCTGCCTGTGGACACTGGCAGGTATCCTGGGGTCTGGCCTGGACTTGGAGGGACAGCCCTGCATTTCCTTCCACCCAGGGGCCCACAGACCCTCCATGCCAGGAGCTGAATCTGGGCACCCTGAGGCCCTTTCCCCACGGTCTCTCAGGTTCTAGACCTCTCCTAGTCTGGTCTTCAGTGGTTCTCAAATATGGCCCTTGGGCCAGCAGCACCCGAAACTTGTTAGACAGGCAGATTCTCGGGGTGGACCCAGAGATGCGTGCTTTACAGTCCTCCTGGTGATTCAACACAGCAAACTGAGCACCACTCCGCAGGCAGCATCCTTCCGGAATGCCCAGGCCTCGCCCAGAGACCCCTGACTCCTCTTGGTTGTGGGGGGTGCTCCGGCTGGGAGAGCCCCTGGAGCTCCCTCTGTGATTTTTCTTCTCAGAGGCCATTCCACAGCCAGGACCCCAACCTTCTCCACCCAGCCGGGACCACTGCCTCCCCAGCCTAGTGAGGTGAGTGGGAAGCTGCAGACCCAGCAGGTGGGCTGCAAGGATGGGGGCGGCCTCTCTGCGCCCCCAGCACTGCTCCTGCACCTGCGTCTTCCTCTCTCTCCATTCATTCAGCATTTCCTCTACTTGTCTTCCTTGGTGCTCCTCTGTCAGGCTTTTAGTCAGGAGCATTCTGGGGACCACCAGCTCAGTGCCAGGTGGAGAGCAGGGGCCCAGAGGGACAGAGGAAAGTGCAGAGAAGCACAGGGAAGGGCTCTGCCCTGGAGGAATTTGGAGACAACAGACCCGTGCCCCTGGAGGGGAGGCTGTGCTCATGGGGCAGTGCCAGGGCATCTTCTCTGGGAGCCTGGAGGAGCATTGTGCCAAGGTGTCCCCAGAGGCATCCTGGACAAGGCTTGAAACAAGGGGCATGGGTGGAGAAGAGGGTCCTTTCTTGCTGACTGCACGAGGTGGCTGAGCCCTCTCCTTCTCAGGGTCTGGCAGAGACTGACCGCTGGCATCCCAAGCAGGGTTTGTCCATGCCCCCCACAGGTATGTGTGCCAACTCCATTCTCCCTCCCCATGCCCCTGTCACCATCTGTGTCCGCCCTTCCAGAGACAGGGGCAGTGATGTCTCCGAGGTTCAAGTGCCCTGACCCCTGACTTTTTCCCCAAAACTGAGAGAGCTGCAGGGTGCATTCAGGGAAACACTGGTCACCTTGGTCACAGCCAGGTCCTGCCCTGCTCACCCTCCTAGATTCAAGGGAAGATTCCAGGCCAGCTTTTAGGGCTGCACCTGGACCACCTGCAGTGTGACCACCTCCCTCAGGCTCTGGCCGGGATAGGTCTCCCCTTTGGGAGTGGGAGGCCACTTGGCTTGGGCACCCTCTGCTCACCCACTTGAAGAGCCAGGCACTTTCCTAAAGTGTTTGCTGACAGGAAATACTCATAAATGGGCTTGAGAGTGGGCAGGGTCACCAGGTTGGCATGTTCCTAAACAGGAAAGGATGGGGTCCCAGCCTGGTCATGTGCCAGCCTCCCCAGAGCTACTGACCACTCACCAGCACTGTGGTCCCAGGAGGCCCTCCCCTGAAGGGAGGCGGGGATGCTCGGCTGTTGACAGCAGGCATATCCTGGCTCTCCTGCTCCCGGGCAGACAGCCTTGGCTTCCTCTCCTGTGGGACCGTCGGGCCTGGTGGCAACCTCTGAGCCCCTCAAGGGTTCTGATGACAGCTGTCCACAAGGCCAGCTGCCCATGGCTGTGTCTTTTGTGAAAAGCAGATGAAGACCCTTCAAATCCACAAACCTGTACTCATGGGATGAATTCTAGTCTCCTTCTAAGTCTGTTCTTGAAAAAAGCCTGCCTTTGAAGATGAATCTCTTGCAAAGAAAATGAGTCTCTCAACACTCTTCACTGTAGTGCCTCAAAGTCAAAACTAGATTGTTTGGCTTTTGTACAGCAGGAGCAATGGGCTCATCTTGAGTCTCGCTAGTGTTCTCTTGTTCTGCTGCTGTGTTTAAATGACCTCAGTTCTTTTTCTCCCCTAAATGACCTGTCTTAGAATGAGTTTGAACTTGAAAGTTGCCATAAGTATCTTTTTTTTGGGGGGTGGGGG